TGTGACCTTGATCCATTCATATCACCTGTCAAGACCCCTCCTCTCAGCGCTGGTATAATGGTGGCAGTTCAGTTGCTGCATGAATTTCTTGGCAGATGCCTCTGGTTGCAATGTCACATGACATGTAGCTGCAGTGGTGGGTGCTGGCCTTCATTTTTAGCTGCATTTAATTGAGATGGGTGACATTATGTTCTGCTGTTATCTGTCTGTCCCCAGGCCCTTCCTCAGAAGAGGAAACAGGCTCAGCAAGCTTATCCTTGGGATGCCCACACTTCCTTGTGTTTCTGCTTAACACCAAGCGCTCTCCCTCCATTTGTATGTCCTCCTCAGCAGCCTGTGTGAGCCATGGGGCCATGTGCAGCAGCATGGAGCCTCATCCTTTCCTTCCCATTCCCTCCCCAGTCTTCTTGCTCTGGAAGAGGTGGGTTTGGGAGGAGTTTTGTGTGTCTGCCCCCTGAAGAAGGCTGAGCTCTGCTTCCCTGAGGCCTCAAGGCAAGAAATGGGGCGGTGTGGGCCTTCCTAGTCTCATCCTGCACAAACCTTTCTACCAGGAGAATTCTCAAGACGCTTGGCATAATCACATCTTTCCTGCCAAGGAGATCTTCTTTCCTTAGAAAAAACTCTGGCAGCATTTGAAGTAGGTCATCTTGGGCGTTTTCTTCTGGCCATGGTGACACCCTATGGTAATGAGCTTATGCAAGAATTGCCAGTGTGCGTGGGAGCCAGTCTTAGCAGATGTCTCCATTCTTGCCAAGGGCAGTTTTCAGCCCGTTTTACAGCTGGACACTGGATGGATGTGAGACCATACATAGGTCACTGTGTACAGGTACCTGGTCAGCTCCTGGAAAGGGCTTTTGGGAAGACAGCTGTTTCTCTGCCATGTTAGGCCAGGCAGTTTATTATAATCCAGTCCTCCTTGCCAGAGAAGAGAACATCTGCTGGCTTCTTTGCATTCCCTACTCCTGTCTCGAAGGAGTGGGCACTTTTTTTTCCTACAGCCTTCTCTTTTGAATATGCCTCCATTTTGTTGGGCCACAGATCATTCCCAAACGTGGTGACCTGAAACAACAGTGATCCAGTCTGCATCAGCTTGGGATGCTGGCCTCTCTGGGGCCCGTTCATGTGGCTGTGATCCGCCAGAGTGACTGGAGCCTGGTCTTGGCAGAAACAGCAGAAAGTGGGGTCTCTCCGAGGATGGTGGTGCTCGCTCCAAGAGGGTCTAAGTGAGAGCTGTAGGGCCTCTTCAGGTTTAACCTTGGCAGTGGTACAGCCAAGCAGGGTTCCTGGGGGAAAACAGGCTCTGTGTGTTCTGGGGCAGCAGGGTTTGATGGGGACATGGATGCGGGATGAGTTATGGTAACAATCTGCCAGCTTGCCTTCTGGCCCTGAGGACTCAAGTCCCTCACAAGTGCAAGATCCATCCCTCCTATCATCCCCCTGCCCTGGCACAGTGATGACCACCCCAGGGCTGGGTATGGGTGGGCAGCCAGCTCCCTGGCAGTGACTTCTCTGTATTCAAGGAGCTGTGAACTGAAAAGCCATCATCTCAGCAGTTGTTGGCAGGGCAGGAAGAGGGTCTGTGACAGATGTTTCTATTCAGAGGGGAAGAGCAGGACGTGTGGGAAATGGCGTGGTCCCTGGTGGTCTGCAGTGCAGCCAGGGTGGGTCGCTGGGGCAGCACCGGCTTCCTGCATCAGTGTTTATATATCTTTTGTGAGTGGCGGTTTCTTATTTCTCATGAGCCTCTGGGTTGCTGGGTAGTTCTGCTGGTCCTCTGGGCTCTCTGCAGTCTGCTGATGGCCTAGGATGACCTCAAGCACATGCTGGGACCTCAGCTGAGTCCAGGAAGTGGCTGCTGGGTCCCTCACCACTGGCCGGGAGGAGTGCCAAAGTCACATTCCCGGAGTGTGGACATGAAGAGGCAGGATTCAGTTATTTTTGTAACACGCTGACCTCTTCAGCATCACAAGGTTTGAGTAAATGGCCTGTTCAGCACAGTGCCTTTGGCCACACTGTCGTGCTTCTCCCCTGGTTCTGAGCGATGGTCCAGGAATGTGGTGCTATCACTTGGGGGATGCTCTGATTCTTCATTCTACAGAATTGGAAAGCGTGATCCTAAAGAGAACTAGCTCAGAGTCAATGGGAGTATTTAAAATGTGGACTCTGCATACCTTCTTTGCCACTCTACATGTCCCAGGTGATTCTAATGAGCCAGGTGTGCAGAACTGGTGCTGTCTTACCCACACCCGGAACTGCCTGGTGTTCAGGAGAAAGAACAGCATGCCTAGCTTGGAACCAGGGGATGTCTGGGGTTCGGGACCACCCTCAGTAGAGTCTGTGTATGAAGATTCTCCTGGAGCTGGGGAAGCTGGGAGAAGAGCCAAGAGCAGAGCCAAGAGCAGGACTGTTGTAGCTACTAAGGGACTGGGAAGTTCCGAGGAGGAGGGAGGGCCTGGGTGATGGGGCTTACGTAGGACACTGCATCCGCATGGCTGGTGACCAGTGTCTGGCAGGATCCAGGCTGCGGGGAGGGAGGACGGTGGAGGGACTGTGCGTCGGGGAGGAGGGAGTGGGTGAAACCTGACCATGCTGCCCAGGGCAGAGTGCCAGGAGGGGGTAGGTGGAAGACTGAGCTGGGAAGAGGGCTGCTGATGAAGCCATGCCTAGGAGGCAAGAAGGATGGATTCTAGAGTCCAGCTCTTAGGATTGGCCTTGAAGAAGAGGAGGGCCACCCCGCCTCCTCATTCAGGAGGGAAGGAGGTAAGGGAAAGGATGGGAAGATGGAAGTGCATAGCTGCTGAAAATGCAGAGCTCCGAACTCACTTTTATGTTTCATTAGGCTTAAAAAATCTGCACTCCAAGTCCTTTCGTTCTAGCTGCTTGTGCTGTGCAGGAGGGCTGTGGATGCGGTGTAAATGAGGGCAGGGGGAGCAGGGTGCAGGGTGCCTTCCTGGGCTCTCTGACATTCTTTGGGGACATTCTCACACATGACCTTGTAGGGTATGCTTACCCGGAGTCTGTGACATATTTAAAAATAATTGTAAGACGATATTTTAGGGTTACCTACTCGCTTCCCAAACCATCTCCCTGAGGAAATTGACTTGAACCGGAACTGCTGGTCATCAACTTCCTTGGCGAATGTGAGGTTTTGTTCTGGTTTTAAAGCCTGGAATATACGTTCAGGCTTTCTGAGCATGTTTCATGTCTAAAAGACACTGGAGACCTGGTTCCATGACCTATAAGAGTTGGCCACTGCCCAGAAAAAACAGTTCAAGTCCGTATCTGTCAGTCTCCCAGTTGAAATGTGGAGTGCAGTGCTTTAAGTAGAAATGAGGTGGATGGAGTTGGATTTTCAACACAGTGGCGGCATGTGCGGCTGTTCACTAGCTGAACAGCTTGTGGCTAAAGCTGTGGTCATGTGAGATCCTGGGAGTTAGGCACCAGGTCACATAGGCTGCGCTGCGCCTTCTGTGGTGCGCAGAGCTCCAGGGACATGGTCTCTGTCCTGTCTGCCCCCTTTCTGTGGTAAGTTTGGGACACATTTCTCACCATGTATATGACATCTAGCACACAGATCTCACTTTGTTCATTTTTGCTAGGGTGGTCAGAGGGTTTGTAAGCTTTTGCTCTGGTTGCAATCTTGTGGGTCCCTTTGGAAGGAGGTCACCTGTGACTGTTGGCTTCTGCATTACTGACATACGCAGCTGTCACCGAGGACCTGCCATAGCACCTGTTTCTCACGTTGGAAACAGGCTGTCTGGTGTCCGGCGGGACCCTGGGAAGTAGCTGCTGGGAACTCTGTGGACTTTGTCCTGGGAAGCAAGTGCGTGGTGGGCCCCTGACGTGCTGTGAAGCTCGCTCAGGGCCACGGACAGTGCCGCATCCTGTGTTTATCACCATGTTTGGATACCTCCTTCACCTCTGCCTCCTTTTCAGCCCTTGTTCTTTCTTGTCTTTTTCCTTTCTTGTGACATTTCAGTGTCTTTGCTGTGTTAACAGACCCTGAGATTGGCCCTGCGTCCTTTCTCTCCCGTGTGCAGGGTTCTGAGGGTAAATGTGTCTGTAGGGCTTCCAGGCTTGTGGTGTGGCGGGGGTGCCACTGGCACTTGGGGCTGGGGAGGTACTTACGCTGAGGTCCGCAGTGTCCCTGGGTTGCTCTCTAAATGTCAGGTTCCCCCCACCCCCACCCCATGACAGCCAGCATTCCCAGGTGCCCCTGGGCACGACAGTTTCCCATATTTCTGACACAGAGAGTGCTTGCACATTTGTAGCCTGCAGGTTGGTGGTGAAGAGCTTTTAGAAATCGTTTTGAGGTACGGCATCTTATATGATGAAAGAGAACAGGCTGTTTATTCTCTAGGTCAGGTTGTTCAGGAGAAGGCATTAGGTGTAAATGAAAATGCGTGGGACTGTGTGAGTATTAGACTCGAAAGCAGTCTGTTAGAAATAGGCTATATTTTTCTACCCTGTAAGCTAGTTAACCGATGGTTTTGTAAATACTCATCTGAATTTAGGAAATTTGGGAGGTAGGGTATGGAGAAAAGCGGAAGTTTTATTTAGATAAGAATGAGTTTTTTCTCTTTACTTTCCCTTTCCTTCCTCTCCCACTGTCCTGATTTTTCTTTGGTGTGGTAGAGCTTAAACCCAGGGCCTCACGCACGCTAGACAGGAGTGCTCCCCTGAGTATATCTCTGGCCGGATGGAGTTTTTGGTAAATCTAGATAAACAGGTTTTTATTCACTTTCATTATATAAAAGTTGGAATCCTTACCATTTTTTCTGCTGTAACTGGGTAGTTGTTCTTCTTACACACTTGCTGCATTTAATAATCTAACAAGACCTGGGACTCTTAGGTCCTGACCCCGAAGAGCTACGTCCGTGAGCAGCTTGACCCTGGATACAGACAGACCAGTCCTGCCAGGACTGTAGCCCCCAGTGTGAAAAATAAAATGAAGAAACACTGTGGTGTATTGAAGTTTTCCTTCTTTCCTTCTCCCACAGAACCTGAAAGCAGACCCAGAGGAGCTTTTTACAAAACTAGAGAAGATTGGAAAGGGCTCTTTTGGTGAGGTGTTCAAAGGCATTGACAATCGGACTCAGAAAGTGGTTGCCATAAAAATCATTGATCTGGAAGAAGCTGAAGATGAGATAGAGGACATTCAACAAGAAATCACAGTGCTGAGTCAGTGTGACAGTCCATACGTAACCAAATATTATGGATCCTATCTGAAGGTAAGGCTTAAAAATAACACCACTTTCCATCATGCAGCACACAAGGACTCCAGGGGTGCAGCGCTTTTCAGAGGGAGGAGAGGTGTTTTGACCTTTGTGATCAGAAGAGCCTGGCTTTGATAGTTTTATCACCTTAAATGTTACCTATAGAAGTTTATTTTTGATGAAAGTATTTGATGTAGTTTTCTTTCAAACAAAGAATATTTTGAATGGGACTTTGGCATCAAAACTATGCCTTAAGTTACTGTTAACAGTAACCATTCATCACCTAATTTTAAGATGGCTTGTGAGTAGTGATAAAAACCCATGCCATCCAAAGAGAATCTCTTGATATTTTCAGTCATCACCAGAGGCTTAATTTAATACTTTTTTTTTTTTTTTTTGGTTTTTTTGAGACAGGGTCTCACTATGTAGTTGAGACTGACCTGGAACTCACTATGTAGCCCAGGCTGGTCTTGAACACTCACAGTGATCCTCCTGCCTCAGCCTTCTGAGTGCTGGGATTATAGGTGTGTGCCACCACGCCTGACCTATTTAATACTATTTTTGGTTTTTTTTGGTTTTTTTTTTTTTTTGGTTTTTTGAGGCAGGGTCTCACTATGTAGTTGAGACTGAGCAGGAGCTCACTCTGTAGCCCAGGCTGGTCTCGAACTCACAACGATCCTCCTTCCTCAGCCTCCCGAGTGCTGGGGTTACAGGCATGTGCCACCATACCTGGCTTAATACTATTTTTATTTTTAAATTTTTAAAAAAATTTTTGGGAATTGAACCCAGGGCCTCATGTTTGCCAGGCAGTTGTGCTGCACCACTGAGCTACATCCCTGGCTTATTAATACTATTTTTAAAACTCTTGCTAGAATCAATAATGGTAGTGGTGGTAATTACTTAGCTACACTTTAAGAATGCTAGTTGAGTAAATAATTAAAGTAGAAGTTTTAATAATATAACATTACAGATTGTCCTTGGATTTTTTTTTTTGGTACCGGGAATTGAACTCGGGTCCTTGCACTTGCAAGGCAGGCCACCGAACCGCTGAGCTAAATCTCCGGCCCTGTCCTTGCCTTTTACTCAGTTGTTTACCTGGGAAAATGTAATATTAAAGTGTTTTTCTGATCCTGTGTGGAACCGTTTCTCCGTTTCTGATGTTTGAGGGTCTTCCTGTGCTACCACCAAGAAAGTCCATGACTGTCCTTGGGTCCCAGCTTTCTAGACATGTCCATTTCACTGGGCTTACAAATGTAGTGTCTTTCAGTGCGTTCCTGCAGGCCTCAGCCACTCGGGGGACATGCATGACTGTCCAGAGGGTGGCTGGTACCTCCTGATGGGCCCGTCTTGTGCTGCCCAGTGGGACAGTCATGCATGTTCCCCGGTGGTACAGAGTTGCCAGCAGCGAGACATAAATTATAGCTGTCATGAATCTGTTAAATTCCTGCGTTCTCTGCTAAATAAACCTACTTCTTTGTGAAAAGAGATAGTGTAGGTTTTTGTTTTGTGGGAATATGATGATAAAGCGGAAGTCAGAGGTTAGAAATTTTGAGAGTGCCATTGTTAAACCAAAACGAATATTTAAAGCAAGTCAAAATTGAGTGGGAATCCTATTTTTTCCCATTATGTAAAGGATGGCAGTTTGTCATAGATCAAATGTGGCATTTTGAAATGGAAAGAGTAAATTTTGGAGTCAAATATCACTGGACTTGCATCTTCCCATCATTTACTTAGGTGTGTTGCCTGAATAATTCCGTTAAAGTTCCTTGTTTCCTTATTTGTAAAACAGAAAATGACAGTATTTTCCAGTTGTCACAGGATTGGGGTGTGGCTTCAAACATGCAGGGTGCTGCATTTCATCCAGCACTGCAAAACAAAACACAAAACAAAAACGAAACCTTTCTGAAAAATTAAATAGGAATTAAGTGTGTGAAAGTGCCTGCATCTGGTAGCTTTTTAAGAATTGTTCATTTCCATCTTTAATTAAATTTATTCATACCTCACCCATTATATTACCTTGCAAGGAAGGCAATTTTCAGTGAAGGTATCCAGTGAGGTCACCAAGAAGCTGGAGAAAGGACAACAGCAAGATGTACGTTGCTGCACTGGTGCCTCTGGGCCGGTCCTGACAGGGAAAAGGGAGAGTGCGATACGTTTTATCAGTCATTACATAATCCAAGAGAACTCATGCACCTTCCCTCGGGGGAGGCCGGGGTGCTCGGTGTGAAGTTTCTGTGGAGGACCAACTGCAGAACAGACTCCGCTGGTACTCTGCCCTGGTACTGTTCAGTGTCCTCTGTGGGTGCCTTGAGCAGTGGTGGCAGGGCACAGTCCAAGTTGGATGTCCCATGCTTTGCTCTGTCGTAAGGAAGATCCTCACCAGCTTTTGGTGAAGCATACCAGCTACCTGTGGAGACTGAGGATCTGTGGTTCAAAGTGCTGCCTCACCCTCGGCCCGGAGGCGGAATGCCCCTGCATGCTGGAGTAGCTGGCTGTCCAGCGGCCAAGCACATGTGACCCTGACCGTGTATCGAGAGATCCCATCCACATTCTGGCCTGAGTCGCTAAGTCTAGATCATTAGGTTCCAAATCAACCTAATCTTGATCTAGGATTTTCTAGTGTATTTTATTTAGTTACCATGATTCCAGCTGGTGTAATAAACTCCTGTACTTTATAATGACTCAGATAAGGTAGAAATTTCTCTCCTCCTCATAGGTTGCCCTGATCTGTGGGCTCTTTCCCTCTATACACTGATTCAGGAACCCAAGCTCCTCTGTGTTCTTCTTGTGCTCACCTGGTTAGATCGATGGGGAAGAGGGATGAATGGAGACTCCTGTGAGAAAGTCTGATGTGCTGAGTCCTAGGCAGAGAGTGCGTTGCTTCTTCCCCTGTCCCCTGGCCAGGACGTGGCCCATGGCCATACCTGACTCACAAATTTTGTGCTGAGCTGAGGGGAAATGGGCTTGGTGCACATTTCCATGTCTTTTCCAGAATTCACTAACTCTAAAGGAAACGGAGTAAGTCATGGGATGGTAATTGTCTTCTGGTCAGATCTAAAATTTAGTAAATTTGTTGAAAATTATTTTTCCAGGAAAATTGTGCTTTAGGAAATGTGACTGCCACAAGAATGCTAGGAATAACATTGTCCCCATTGTGAAAAGTTGCCCTTAATTTCATCTAAAAGGTGATTCTGTCTTGTTTGGCTAAAGATTTGTGAACTGCTGGTACCAATATTAGCTGTTATAATCAAACAGGATTGGAATCCAGAGCTGTAGAGAGAATGCCAAGTAATCCCTGTCCACTGCAGGACAGTGGTGAGCCAGACTGCTCTTCGTCACAGGAGGGGCTCGGCAAGCCTGGTGGCGCAGCCCTGTCAGGCAAGATGCAGAATAAAGCGACTGCTCACACGGGCAAGTCTCTGACACACAATTGGAAATACCTCGTGGTGTGCTGGTTTTTATTGCCCCTTTAAAGCACTCCCATAGCCTTCAGAGCTAATATTCTTAGCTCTTTAAGAGGTGATTGGAAAGAACGTCTTTGAATTTTACCCTGTGTTAAGGGGCTTTTTACATAGCAGGATCAGGCAAAGGAGTGATTACCTGAAGCTGGTTTCTTTGTTGTTGGGTTAACATTCAGAGGTTTTGTAATTGTTTTTTTTTTTTTTTTTTTACTCATCTAATCTAGAAAAGGAGATTAAAAATAACAGGGAAAGAGCGTGAAAAAGACTTGAATGTTACCAAGGATCAGGAGAAGAATGTTAATTTTAATTGTATAGCTACGGTCAAATCACAGAATTACTTTACAGCATATTTTTCTCCCCAAAGATTAAAAAACAGGTAAGGTGACAATTTAGAGAAGAGAGGGAAGGATGCAACATTGGGAATTTTTGTTTGTATCGATGAATACAATGCCTGGAAATGTCTTTGTCTTAGAGATTATCACATACCCTTAAACTTAATTCACTGTGGTGTAAGTGGCTAATTTTGGAGAAATTAAACCAGATAAAACAATAATGAGATGCCTCCATCTTCCAGCTGTTGGAGCTTTCTCCCACAAAAACAGCATCTACAAGGTCAGACTGAAACTATGCATATGGGAAGTTATGGGGTGGACAGGAGGAGCAGAGGGGATATTTTGGGTGTGGCGTTAGTCCGGCTGCTAAGACCTAAGATGCTAACGGGACAGAGTGGTCCACAGTTCATGGTGTGTTTCTTCCCCTCCTCTGCTGGCCCAGTATTCTCCTCAGCGAGGCATCTCTTGGTGTTTTGTTTGGGGAGATTACAGCCTGTCAGAACCTCCTCCTTGAGCTTCAGTCAGGATCTAGTCAAATCCCCACGGTTGTGCTCATGGCTGGGATATGATTCTTGGATGTCACTGTCAGGATGCTCCTTGGCCCACAGCTTCCGAAGGGATAAAATGCAGGTGTTACAGGCTGATCAAAAAATAAGGGGTGTCTATTTTTTAGTTACAGTAAAAGACATATGGCATCAGTCTTCCTCAGAATAGTCTCCCACATCTTGAAGACATTTAACCCATCGTTCTTGCCACTTTACAAAGCAGTTCTGGAAGTCATCATTTGTGAGTGTCTTTATAAGGCATGATCAAAAATACAGTGAATGCTGCTGATGAGTGCCATCCAATGGAAAGGCGGGCTTGTAAAGAATATTATGATGTTCCTCACCCACCTTATTCACCAGATCTGGCACCAGGTGACTTCTAGCTCTTTTCCAAAGAAACATGACTGTGACAGGTAAATGTTCTGAGTGATTCAGGACAGCGAGGCAGTCACAATAGTGCAACTAAAGATACTTGTTAAAGAAGACTTCCAGAACTGCTTTGGAAAGTTACAAAATCAGTGGAATAAGTGTGTTCTACATAAGGGAGGAGGATTAATGGCAATGTGTCCTTCACTGTAATACATTTTTAAAAGTCTAAACATTCACTGTATTTTGTGAGCATATGTCATAAATAGTCATTTTGTGATATTACTACAAAATTTCAGATCATGTATGCA